CATCAATTTACCTAAATATACGTCTATTGAAATTATTAACACTACCGTCGACTGGCATGCACACACGCATACAAGGGTGCGTAACTAAAGCTTTTCGTGATCATCATTTATTTATCCACTTTCGGTAACGTGAATATAGTCTGTCTAGCTTTAAATTAGCACCTTTTGAACTTTTGCCACATGAGTATATGCAAATTTCTCGCTTTGGCTGTACACACGAGTGTATATATTTTAAATTTCCATGTGTGTGTGTGTGTACCGTATATTTTTCGGCCTTGTGCCACTGGCGTCGGAAAACTCCATTCATTGAGTGTCTAAACCTTGTACAATTGCAATAGTGAACAAAAAACGCGTACGGCAAAGTAGCCGAGGTGATATTCATGGGCGTACGCAAACTTTTAGTTCCGGAAGTGCACACTAAAAATGAGAAACCACAATAATTTGAAAGCCATTATAGGTACAGACAAATATTTATATAAAATTCACTAAAAATAATTTTATTTTATTTTATTCGTTGTAATAAATATTGCATAACAGCATATAGATATGCAATCTCTAATAATGATAATCGACGTTTAAAATAAATAACATTTTTGAATTCGTCAATAATTTCATTAAAATCTAATTTACAAGCTAATTCTTGTTCTATGAATATTAGTATTAACGATTCTAGTCTATATTGGCCCATGATACATTTGAGTTTATTTTTTACAATACTTTATTTGGAAAATATCCTTTCGCATGTACGACTTGTTATTGGTATAATGGTAAACATTTTTAATGCTAAATACATATTATTAAAAATGTCTGTCTACTCTCTTTAAACTGGTCTAGCCATACATACATAGATTCTCTGGATGTACCACTTTTTACATCAGACATGTGTTTGAGAATTTTAATTTCAAATTCCAGTTCATCAATTGGTAAATTGAATAATTTAGATAAAACATTTGAAAAACTGTTTTTTAATTCTTACTTCAATAAATTTCCCGCAGCACTAATTAAATCTTAGCTGCCTTGATTAAATATCATACTTATTCAATCGATAAGATTATAAATTAACAGATTAAATGCAGAATACCTGAGTTCTTCATACTTGAAATCGTAAACAAATGAATTAGAATAATTGTTATCTAACCTCACACTCGCTTTCTTTCTTATAACCGCAGGATCACTAATATCTAGAACAAGATATTTGGTAGTTACTTCTTCAAAAATGTTTTTAAAAAATATATCATTTCTCATAAATATTAATGAAAAAATATAAAAATATATAAAATATAATATTAAATTAATACTATAAAATAAATATTTTAATATAATATATTAATATTACAATATTTTAATATTAAGTGCTTGAATAGAATTCATAGCTGTTAATAAATAAATTTTAGGAAACTGAAGTCCTGAACTTACTTTTAAATCATTGTCAAAATTGGTTACATAAGATGTAAGCCTAAAATAAATTCAAAACATTGAATTCAGTGAATTAAATCAATACCTTTAGTTGGAATATGGAACATTACAGTTTTTACAAATTACATCAATGGCAACTGTTAAAATACTATAATTATTTTGCACTGCACTTAAAGCTTCTGATATAGAAGCCCAATGGTTAATAGAGCATGAATTTAAAGATTTTAGGTGTGATCCTGCTTCTAACTCAATTTTCTCCATACTGCATGTCGTATTTGACTTACTTCCATAATATTGTAAATAAATTGTATTATACCGAGAAATTTAAATTTAAGTCTATTGTTGGGTTTGCTAGAATTTTCACGAATTGAATAAATCTAGTTCTGATTGATTCAATTGTAAATAATTTTATTTTTTGTTCTTTGCACTGTGCTTGAATACTTCCTATATTAGGAAATAATAATATACATGCATTTTATGAAATCACTTTGTTCAATAAAATAAAAAGTTGTTTTTTTTTTATATTCATACACAGACAAAAATGTAATTATAATATGAATACATGTAGTCGTGTAGCCAGGGGGGAGTGTTACAGGTGTAGTAACACCCCCCCTAAACCATGTTAATAGTATACTTAAGTCTAATAAAGGTAAAAATTGATCATAAACCGTGATGAAAACACATTTATCATAACGAAATACATACATAACAATAATGTAAAGCAAGGATCCGGCTTCTCATTACATGGTTTTGTCTAATAAACCAAAGCCGTGGTTTTATGTCGTATCATGCGCGATTTAAAATAAATACATATGACAAAAATGTACATTTGAAATTTTAATAAAATATTTAAATATTTTCTCATACAATAGTACATTACACATGAATAGATATTCATGTGTAATGTACTAATGTGTTTGTATTCTTGTACAATAAAATATACGTAAAGTATTTATTTTGTTGTGTATAATTTTAAATAACATCCCTCTTTTGCAATAGCTACGCGACTGAATACATGTAGTCCTCAAATTCACAACACGTTTCGGATTCAGAATAATATATAGAACTTAGAAAATTTTACGTAGCGCATTCACACGTTTGCAGTATGCATATTTTATAAAACATAAAATGAACGGTTTACACATACCATTGTATGTCGCAGAAATTTTTTACGTACCCAAACATCGATGGTGCACGAAGTGTGACCCAAGTATTTTTGCACCTCTAATATGTCCGCTCAATACAACGCTCCACATTTTACTTTTGAGTTACGAACAAATTGATGATCGTTGTCTGTGTCGGGTTCATCAGTATTTAATCCAGTTCAAGCCGATGCTATTGTATTGAAAAATAAGTACTGTGAAGTGTACTTGAAACGTGAACTTTCAAATATATGTACCGAACTATGTAGTATATCACTTACCACGATTGTACACGAGAATGTACAGCATTTTTTTACATTAAGTATTATCGTTTAATACTGGTATCTACACACATCGTAAAGCTTATAGAAGTGAAGGCAAGACAACGAGTTGACAGACGAACGTTCCCCCGTACGTATTCTGCACACTGATATTATAACACGCGTTCGCAATTCACTTGTTTGTAACGTTTATGCAGTTTGCCGTATGGTAATTTAAAATGTAATCAGCACGTACGTTTTTTTGTATAAATCTGCACCGCGCATCCGCCGTAAAATAGTTAGCTATGAAATAAACCTCAATGGGTGTGTGTGTGTGTGTGTGTGTATTTTAAATATTTAATTGTACGTGTTTGTAATTAATATTTCGATCTTTCAAAGTAAATTTGTACGGAGCAATTCATGGTTTCCATTTCAAGTTCGGAATAGTTACTGAAGAAATATTGAACAGTTTTCCATCTAGAAATTTAGAGGATTCACTTGTTTTTCAATAAACAAGAGTTAGACGTTGGTCTAGAATGAAGACTAAATAACGAGTGCTGAGGATTTAGGTATATTATGGTTATATTATGATTGTTTCAAGTGGCAGGTGGTGATAGTTCTCGTTTTACAGCGAATGGCAAATATGAAGATTTTCCATTATTTATTATATTGATTTTCTATTCAATCACCATGATATCACGTGGCATTGTAGACCAAATGATTTTATAGGTTATAGCCAGTTATTACTCGACCTGCGCGTGAGAAATAATGAGGAAAATCCTAATTATTTCATAATAAAAAAAAAAAAACATAATTTAGATATACTATAAACTGAATTAATAAAAATATAACACTAAATCACATTTATTTTACAAATATTTGAATTTATTTAATAAATTAAAAACTGGGTGAATTATTTAAACAACATTTATTTGTATAATACATAAATTAAGACAATGATATGAAAAATATAATATAAAAATAGGATAGAAAATAATAGGGAAAAAATGAATTACTGTTTAAAGAGAAATGTTTATTTACTGCACCAATATTTTAAGTGTAAGAATGTAAAATTTGAATTTTTACAGAAACCTAGCTTCTAAAAATATTTGCATAGTTCATCACCTATTCGACTGTATGTATCGTTTTTATTACTTAGTCTATTATGCATAATTTTGTCTGTCCATGAACTATCGCTAACAGATGAGTATCGCTTGTTATAGTCATGTACAGCAGGGTTGAGCCTGTGTACCTGTACGTAGATTTGAGTTGTTCGCTAATAGAAACCGATGATACATACAATTGTATACATGACGGACGCGCATATATTATTATAATAACGCACTAAACTTATTATTTATACTATTAAATTTGACGAAACACATGCAATCATCGACATTTAGACTTATTCAACAGACATTATGTTCATCATATTATTATCGATATGTTTTCCAGCACTAGACTTAGGTCTTGGGAAGTCAGCGTGTACACAAACAAATATATAAGCAAACATATTACAGTCGAGTCGCGATAACTCGAAGTTGAAAGGGGATTCACTTCGAGATATGTATTATTCGAGGTATCTAACTAATTTATAGAGGAATAATTTTCTAGGGGAATAAAATACAATTCGAGTTGTCAAGTTTTTCAAGTTATCGAGGTTCGAGTTATTCGCGACTCAACTGTATTATATATATAAGATAATAATACATTATATTATTAATTATATTTTTTTATTGCTATTCCTTCAATAACTAAAATGAAATAATAATAATATGAATGAGTTTAAAATAAATAAATGTTCAAAGAACAATTTTATCATTTTGTCTAACACTTGTATACTATTCACCGAATTGGATAACGATTTAATATTTGATGGTAACATTATTCTTTATTTGTACCGTATTATCACAATCTGTATTTATTATTTGGCACCATTAAGAAGATCTATGACCTACATCCGAGGTCCCGATGTCTTGCACCCCTAATTAAATCCGGAGCTGAATTGATGTGAATATATATTTATGTACCGGCATTCGAGCACATTATAAATCTATATTTAAATACAATCTTACATGATAAGAACAAAAATTGTATTAACAATAAATAACGTAGTAATTATATACATTGTACTGCCGATTATTATTATAATATTATAATGTTGTTTTCGTGGAATTTGCAGTGGGCTCGAATCGTTTTGGTGGTGGAGAGAGGCGTAAGTCCGGCTCAAAGGCTGATAAAGCTCATGTACTATTCGCAACCGATGTCGGATGGCCGCAGAGCTCTGGTGTTGCGACTCAATCAGACGGTAAGACAAAATTTAATATAAATTAGAAATAATCAATAGTTCAATTAAATTAAAAAAAAAAAAAATTATCAAAATTATTCATCGGAGTAAATCATTTCGATGATCTATTATTATGCGATTATACCGAATAAAGGACCTTTTTTTTTTTTTTTTCATTAGAAGTAATCGAGACTTCTATTCTATTATGTACATCATATAATAAATTTAAATATATCTTTCATTTCGAGGCTCGTGCACGGAATACAAAGGGTTTAGGTAACAAGGTAACTGTACTAATATACATAATGAAAACAAGTTATTGTTTCTGTGTTGGAAATGTAAGTAAAACATTTAGGTATAGTAAAATAAATAAAAAAGTAAATTAATAAAAAGTCAAAGTACGGAGACGGATTACCAACGTAAGTGAATTGTACTTGTGGAATTCTTAAAATCAATGCACCACCACTCACCAGCACTAGGGGAATGAAATACCGGAAACTGCAGATTTCGCGCCTCCTGTACTCGGTCAGGCCGAAGGTACGACTTATCACTATACGTTTTTAGTTGCAACCATCACCGACAGAACAGCTGTCCCTCCGGGAAATATCGCCACTGCCAACACCACACAACGATCACGGTGACTAGGTCACCAATTAAAACTTTTCAATGGGAAAAAAGAAATTTGTCTCTTTTTACGATCGCGCGTATTTTTTTCCAAATTATGATGGGTAGGTGTAAAGTATTAAATTTAACAAATTGTTTCGTTTTTTCTTTTTTTCTTCGTTAAAACTTGTTAAAACTTTTTATTTTGTAACACGGCCAAGTTTCAGCCAATAGTATTCTAAGCCGGTGGCGGCTGCGTTTACTCCGGTAGTGGTAACTTCGGTCCTTGAGGTAAGCAGATCTAACGGATCTAAGGATAAAGAAATAAAAATACTCCCTCTGTACGGTAGGTAATATACTTTTTCTTATAGTTTTAAGGAAAATAGACAATAGTATATATATATATACTACAATAAGCTATTGATTTAGAACACGGTCAATCATTTTATAATAAATTTGATTATGTTGTAACACCGGAGCATTTAAGTGTAATTTAATGAAGTTCGCGCTCGCTTGAATGTTACATGTTACAGTGTGTACGTTTAGTTCACCAGTCCATCCGTCAGTTGTTCACGGTTTGTTCTCGTGTAACATCGTTCGCAATGTTTAATATCAATTTACAATTGTGAAAATATAGATTTATAAATATTATACATGTAATTCACACAGAATGCCCCATGAAAATATATTAGTTACAATTTATCCTGGGATAACGAAGATGACCAAATTCTATTTTAGTCACATGGCTCGTGGGCCTAAATAAAATCTAAAATTATTTCACATTTAAATGACACTTTTAGGTTTTGGTAAAATTTTACAGAAGAAAAAAAGGATTTTTTGTTGCCCTACTCTACTTAAATCGTATTTAAAAAAAAAATCATTACCTTCAATATCTCAGGAGATATCCCAATGGGTGTACACATTCTTGGTACAATAATATAAAACATACCATGAGGTAAAGACCTCAAATGTGCACAATGAGAAAATCTCATGTACATAATGTACTCAATACAGTTAAATGAATTTTGTAACATTTGATATTATAGACAAATGCATTGCAAGTATGAATGTTTGTTGTATGCAACAACAAAATAAAAAGATCGAAATTATTAAATATTTTAAACTGTATTATATGACAGTCACGAGATCGAAAAATAAAACAAACAAAAAAATAATAATTATAAATAAATAATAATAATAAAATAGAGTATAAAACACAGAGTAAAGAGTATAAACACAAATACATAAACAATAAAAATATACAGCGGTCGGGCTTTACTGGCGTCTGCATAAACACATTGGTTACTACACTACAATTTTACAAGAGATTCCGAAAAACAGACAAATAAATAAGAACAAACATAGTACTGGTAGAATAGTAATATAGTAGATCTGAAATATTGGCCGGTATAAATGTCAGCATACAATAAATAGTTGGTAACATAAAGTTTAAAATATTTTTGTTTATTATTATTTTTTTCACAGTCAATATTGTAATTATATTTGGTCTTAATTATTATTTTCGTGACATTTAATAATTGCAGGATGAAGATAAGGAGCAAATGAAAGAGATATTAGAAATGAAACGCATACACAATCGATATGTGGAAAGAATGAGGGCCAGAGACCTGAGCAGCAAATTGTCATCATCATGCAGGAAAAATGCCAACAACAACGGAATAATTAATCTAAAAGCAAATAAATAATATTTGTATAATAATAATTTAAGTCAAAAGTATGTACAATATTGAATTATGTGGATACATAAATATATAGACATATATTTACATACATATCTGTATCATATACATATTATAAATATTTATATATAAAATTAATTACTTGCAGTACAGATTTTACGTTAAACATAATAGAAAAAAAGAAAAAGAAAAATGAAAAAAAAACATAAAAACCAACAATATCATTTCTTAATATAATAAAAAAAAAAATTAATTTTATCAAACATACATAAACAGATTATAGATAAAAATTCTAAATGCCTAGAATATCAACAAATAAAAGGAAAATTTCATAATAATTTATGGCTAATTTATTATAAAATTGACTATCCTCAATTATAAATAATTGGTAGTGATTTTCAGTATTCAAATTGAAGAAGTTTTCAAACTGTATATAATTAAATAATTTATAACTTATTATAGCACACAAAAATTGTAATAGGTATTTATTTATTTTTTTTATTTTTAGTATAGGAATAATTAAATTTGTTTAAAAGTTTATAGGCTCCAAAAGAATTGATTTTATCAGTCTTCAATTCCCAAAAATCTTAATATAAATAAAATGATAATGGCGTACATTTACTTAATTTTTTTTTTCCACTCCCATATCTCTTCATTCATATAAAATAATACTTATTGAAATAATTATAATAATAATTAATAATTAATAATTAATAGTAATAATAATTATGTTTATCAATATTATTAAACTAAACATGAAAAAAAAACACAGATGTGTTTTTTTTTTTGTAATTTATATAATTAAATAATTGAATTTTTTTTATATAAATACAATAAATAGGCTAATTTATTTATCATAATTTTTTTTTTCATTTTTTTATAACTTTTTGTTTAGACATAACAAAGCAAGAATACTGGATACAAGTTATAACAAAAATTATTTAATCCGTATTAAGGAGGAAAATAATGTAAAATTTTGCTAATTTTTTCAATAATTTGGCCAATTGAATATGATAATCTCATTATTTACATTTGAAATAAAAAATATTATGTAGACAAAGGAACATATCCACTGTAGTCACATAAAGGAAATCACATAACATTTTAGTCTAATCCACGTCAATTTAGTTACATCAAATAATATATCAAACAAATTACATTAACAGAACATGAAATCAATAGCACCGATTTCTTTTGTATACAAATAAAAATGGGCATTCTTGGTTTTATAAAGATAAAAATAACACAAATACTAAAAAATAATAATAATAAATTTAAAATAAAAAATAGTTGATTAACCTTATTCTATAGTTATTACTTTTTAAATAGTAATCATATTTAAATAACAATAGAAAAAAAAATGTAGAACTACTATTGCTATTACTGCGTATACTTTTATATTGCAAATAGTCGAGTTAAATTTAACAATATATTGCAAAATTATAATCAATAAAAAATATTTTAACAAAAAAGCTTACACATCCACAAAAATAAAAGAAATGTGACTTATGTGAAAACACAATTAATAGTAAAAAAATTTAAACATTGAACATTTTCAAGTGAATATGGTAAACATGAAAGCTCACATTTTTCATAATCTGAAATTAACATATAACATAATTCGCTATTGAACATCTTGAATATAATATTTAATTACAGAGAAGCCCTGAATATTATTGTTCTAGTAGTATTTTTAGTGGCATCAAAATAACTATACATTTTTTTATTTTTTTTTTTCTAATATTCTATTAACAATATTGTACAGTTTATAAATAAAAGATAAACTGTTCTTACTTCCAATTGATTATAACATATATAAAACATATATCAGAAGATTTCATTGGGACCTATATCATAGGAGCTTTGACTTCATACTACATGTCGGTGAGTTACAGATTTCTTGAGAAGATAATAAAAAAAAAACTTTTTAGGACCTCCTTTTCTAATGAAGTCACGATGCTTGTTTGCCAACAATGACACCGGGTCTGGACGGTTGTACAGGACTATTTGATGTTACCACCGTAGTACCTTGAGATGTCTGGGAACCACTGTGGAACTGAAGGAAAGGATTCATTTCCACCTTGAAAAAAAATCATTATCTGTTAATAATTTGCTTAAATATTTGACCATGTAAATATTTATAAATAATTTAAAATTTCATTCAATTTTTAAACAAGTTACCTTAAGCAACTTTTGATTGCTGGTCGCTGTATGTTTGGTTAATGCAAGAGGTGCTTCCTGGTGGTCATCACTAAACAGATTGTCACCTTCTAGATGTCGAATCGCTTCAACAATGGTTTCCAAGTTTTGTCGAGATGTACTCGTTAGGTAAACACGTGCAGATGGCAGTACTTGCTGTTGCTGCTGCTGCGGTGGCACAAGTTCTTCTTCAGGTGCTTTAAGCCGATCATCTACTTCGGGTGTGTCAGTCTCAGTCTTAATCAACACAGTATCTACTTCTGGTTCTCGTTGCACTACCAGGTTTTCAGACTCATTTACTTCAATTATCTCCATACCGGCTTCTTCACCAACTACACACTGAAATTAATGAAAAAATAAAATAAAAAAAATCTAAACAGTGCCTTAAAAATAAAAACCATTAGCTCTAATACCGTATTTGTGTTATGATGGTATTGTATTGTAGTCTGGGTATTCTCTTCTTTTGGTTTTGAATCGACAAAAGTTTCACCTAAACGGGCGGCATAGTCTTTTAATTGTTCTTCTAGCTCGACGCGTAAACTTTGCTCGCGTTCTAAATGTGCTCGTAATTCAGTCACTTCATCGATCATCAGTCCTCCATCTTCTAAACCTTAAAAAGAGAATACATTTTTTTATAATTTTTTAACAAAATATTTAAATATAATACTGAATTATTTTATGTTTTATTTATTTTGTATCATGATTGCAGCATCACTACTACGATTTCCAACAACAAATAGTATAAGAAGAACCAAATAAATTAATAAATAATAAAATAATCGTAAAAATTCTTCGTCCTGATAAATCAACAAACAATGACGAACCGAACGCACATCGTACTAAATCGTTAAACACTATAGCTAATGACCCCATAATGAGTCGCTAAAGTCGTAAGGGCAAACACTAGTTGCCTCCCCAAGTCAAAAATATCTATAATTTTTATACGAATTGCCTCCAGACTATATACGAGTTGTCTCCTGCCGTACCCTAAAATTTATCTTAAACGAGAAGGGTCTAGTACTAGTTGCCTCCCAATAGTCAGATAATAAATATAAGTGTGGTTCCAAACATTTTCAAACATCATGTATCAAAATAAGTTTGTAATTTCAAAGTCATAATCTATGACTTTTGTTATATTTGATATTTACAGAGCCGTAACTAGGGTAAGGTGAGCGAGACACTTGCTTTGGACGCCTGAAGCTAGGAAGCGCAAAAATATTTAACAATTAACTCATTTTAACAAATTATATTTATTGTTTTGCTAGAAACCTAATTAAAATTTTTCAGATTTTTCCGAATCGTATTATACATATTAAAAGCTGTGAGTGTGACAACCCTACAACTTTGATTCAGTTCTGCCTCAGGATAACAAATGGCTCGGTACGGCTATGGATATTTGATACAATTATATTATCTATAAAACTAATCATTAAAATAATATACTATTTTGAGTAATGATAATATATAATGCAAACCAGACCTGAGCCAGACTACAGTAAATAATATACGTGATCGAGTAACGCTTAGTTGATTTCCAACACTTGTTATCGTTATACGATATTATTTTTAAAAATATTTTTTTACAAACGTTTTTAGAACAAATCAATGTGAAGTGCGAAACATATTTAGTGAATAGGCAAAATATTTTTAAAATATTTAAAGATTTTAAATTTAGTTTTCAAAAAAAGTTAGCCTTCAACAAAGAACGGCGGATCTGTACGCCAAAAATAAGTAAGGCTTTTTTAAAAGTTAATGAAATTACAAAGTCATATTTTATGAAAGTAAGTTGAACCCTAATAATCATGTAGCAAATACATTATCTGAACAAATATTTAATAGGCAAGAAATTAGTTACTCTTTAAAAATAAAAGCAGTCACTAAAACATTATTATGTGAAAGGCCTTCGAAGTTATTACATGCAGAATTAAGACACCATAAAATAGATATTATTACAACTACCAATTGTACATTAAAAAAAATGTACATCAAGCTCGTAGCTCAATTTTTCCGAACTTACCTAAAACGAGAAATGAGGTTCATAATTTTTTAGACGAGATTATTATTATTTACGAAAATGAAAAATTTTTTTTACGCAACGATATAGAATGCGAAATTGTTATATTTTCTACTAAAACTGTGTCGATTTCAACTAAGGCACGCTTAGTGGCATAAAATGCAGTCAATTGGATTAGCTTCGCAATAATCTAATGACGATTCGATTAAATAACATAACGTGCATATTTAGCCTATCATTTTTTAACTCAGCGGAAGTCAGAAATATGTTTACAATGGAACTAGCAGGCATACAGCCTTTAGATCACTGGTTCCCAAACTGGAAAGCGCGCCTCCTTCGGGAGGCGTGTACACATTGCTGGGGAGGCGCAAGCAATTATTACGATGTACAATTTTATTGATTAATTCCGAATATTGTAGTTTATTTAAAAAAAAAAACACCAAAAAAGATGATCGATTTTTTCAATTGGAGAGGGGGTGCGAGTTTTTTGAAAGTCTACGAAGAAGGCGTAGAACAGAAGAAATTAGGAACCACTGCTTTAGATGATAAAATAACAGATAAAATTTCAGTTTATTTAGTAGATACATAGATATCAGAGGATTCAATTTTTCCACCTCATATATGGACACAAAAAAATTCCAGTATTCAACGCACAACCAATGTATGCAAATCCTTCTAAAGCAAATTTAATAGCTATTTTGAGTCTCCACATCCTAATATATACAAATTTATCGAAGTTTTATAACTAATTCAGACTGAGACTATAATTTTAATACAAAGTTCTAATAATCCTAAGCTACATAGACGATTAGAAATTAGAAACAAAATAATTTTCATTGATATCCAAATAAAAAAGCTGAAAGAAAAAAAATATTAAATTTTAAGTACCTACAAATATTGGCTAAAAAATACAAGCCTAAGCAATGTTATAAATAAAAATAATTTTTATAAAAAATATTATTATAACATTAAAATAATATTATTATTTGTAATTTCCTATTGTTTTTATATATGTACCTATATAATATATACACCAAGTCTGATATTTTCAATTATTTATTTATTTATTTAAAAGTAACAATGAATAAACATTATTTTTGTGGGACTGTTTTGTGAAGTTTATGAACCACTACTTAATTCTATAATACGGGAGACAACTATTGTGAAAATTCTTGGGAGACAACTCATATATAAATATAAACTACCTGGTCATCGGAGGCAACTAGTGTAAATTATCCTTTTTATTGACGATAAGAAGACGAGAGGCAATTCGTATATTTTGGGAGGCAACTAGTATGTGCGCAGAATGAAAGGTATATTTCAAATATTAAAATACCAATAACGTAAGACATCTAAAAAGGTGTTAAGTCATAGGTAGGTTAACAGATATTTATTTTATTGGCTCACAATAGAAAGGAAATAGGTAAATATCGGTGAAAAAATCAAATCAACTTAACTCCTATATTTAGTAACATTAAATTATTTTGGTATTAAAATATACATTTATTTCTTGTCTTCTTTTAAAAAAAAAAAGTATTTATTCACAATTCAAAATTACATTTTAAAGATAAAAAAATGAATGTCATACCTTATTGAACGAATATTATGGTCTCTATAGTATAATAACTACAAAAAATGACAACTAACATAATTTAGTTGGAAGGAACTTTAAAATTTTATCTGATCATTTCGTAGGCAATTATTTAAATTCAACACATACACTTCCAGTTCCCGTTATAATAAGTCATAAATCAAAATATAATCATATTATATAAACACAATGATAAGTAAAACACGCGTATATAATAAAATAAAATTCAAAAAATAAATGCAAACGTATTCACAATGCATGTTGGCTATATAACTGGGGCTGTATATTTAATGCGCTTACCACACTTTAAATAATGCATTTATGATACCAAATGTACACTTGGTACACAAAAAAAAAATAGTTTATAATTGTAGAAATAAATAAATATAATAATACTAACAAATCAAATATATCATTATGTAGGTTAGATCTAGTAAAAAAATTACATTTCATTAAATACAAATTATTTGTAAATATTTGAAAATATGTAAAACAATTTATTTCTCAGTTTTTCCCGTATTATTACAGTATTATTATTAAGTGGTTAGAATAACACACAGCTTGGTGAAATTGAACCGAGTGCATAGCAATGTAAAAAACAGATCTCGCTTGGCTCTCGGTTCGAACATAAAAAAAAATATTGATGAAATCAAAATTTTAATCTAAAAAGATTTTTTATTTTTCCTCGTCCAAAATAATTAATAAGTTTGTACAATTGTATTTTTATTTTTTTCAATTGAAATACAAATTAAAAAAAAGCATAAAATAAAAAATATCAATAATACAATTTTAATTTCTTAAATTTTAACTAAAATACACAATCCAGATTTTATACTAAAAAAACGGGTAAAAAAATTAATTTTACACGAAGCAAAAAATATTGAAGAAATATTAAATCAAAAGATACAAATTAATATAATTTTTATTAATCAAAAAATAATTTCCGATTTAAATACAAACACTCGAATATACTTAAATGATCGCAAATCTCAGTGTCACAGGGGGTGCTCGAATTAAAACGTAAAATAATAATTAGTAATAATTTTAAAATAAAAAAATTACCAATTTTAATCGTGGCATCAACATATTAATACAAAAAAAAAAAAAAGAAACATTGGTTTGCAGAAATTTTCGAACGGAAACGTATAGTTAGTATAGTTAGTGAAAACAAAAATATTGTTATTATTATTAAAACTTAAAAGAGTTGTATAGTGATTGCATAAGCATCCATAAACAAACATTTTAATGTGTATTTATGAAAAACAAATCTATCGAAAAAAAGAATATATAGGACGTCGCACAGGCAATTTTTAGTATCAAAAAAATGTTCACGTAAATTGTGAATTACTTGTTCCCGAATGGTTTTAGAGCTAAGAGACCTATTATCAAAATTAAATAAAACAATATTTTGGAGAGCATCTCATCGGGGTTTTCAAAAATATTAAATTTAAAAAAAGATACAGCCATTTAAAAAAAAAGAAAATAATCGTATTTTACAAATGCTATATCAAACAGACTAATTCAAATAATGAAAATACCCAATGATATGCCCTCGAAAATATATAAAAAATTTAAATTTTAATTTTAATATTAGGTATTTTTACTCTAAAATCTAGAGTGATTTATTTACAATCTAAGAATGTATGTTTTATGCCATAACAGTCGATTTTTTTTCCCGTCAAATGTTGCGCCTAGCAATACTGTCAAATACATCGTCGTTGTCGGCGGTAGTAACCCTCCTCACTCAACAATGTAACCAGTTCGAATTCTCTAACAACGATAACGATAAAAATAGAACTGCCGTGACGATACGACGTCGGTACTCAGTAACCCGCATTCATTCAAATTAATTTAATCTACTACTATAAAATAATAGTATATCATTGATAAATCGATGACAAAATAAGAATAAGATACGAAATTACACAAAAGTTCCCCTCGACCTTCGTTGTTTTGCAGTGGCTTAAGATCAATTCTTGAAATTGTACCTGCGCTAAAAGAGTTATTCGAAAATTTTTAATTCGTAAATAGTACATCATCTATAGATATTATTAATTCTACTCCTTCGATGAAAATAACTGAGGAATAATCAGTAATTTTCAATACACAATAAATGCGTATCGAGAAAAACAAATTACTTGCTCCTGGTTATTGAAGAATTTCTAGTTCCGTCTCTATACGTGTATACTTATATTCACGACAGTTTGTGTCATTTTGGAAAATTATAATTTTTTTTACCAATTACCACACATTTATTTGTAAGATATACAACAGCAAATGACAATTTTTAAAACAAATATTTAAATAAAATTATTACTTTGATATATCTAATAATAATGAATTAATTTTGTTTGTATTTATTTAAACATAAACCTACTCAGTCTCAAAAATGTAGCGTAGAAATCAACCCATATTTAGGTAATATACATTACCTATAGGTACTAATAGAAAACCTAAATGTACCAATATTAATATTTCTATATTATTAGTATACACATGTTAAATAAATAGTTACAAATATAAATAACAGTCATCCCTCAAAATTATGCAAGCACGCACCAGTACACTGATAACGAAATCAGCTTTATTCCATATTTTGTAAAATGGGTAGCTTGAACGCGTATTATTGTATTATTATTATGAAATTCGCTCACTACCACTGTTCATGAAATAATAATCCACGCTTCCACGATAAGAACTTGATAGGTCAAAAAACAGTGGGCGTAACTTGATCTACGGTCAGACTAGACCCGGCATCGGCCAAAATAACGTTCGGCCGAATACGGACGAAAAAAATAAAAGTATAAAATTCAATTGTACCCGGCCACATAATATCCAAAAAATTCGGTCGTTTACGGCCGATGTCGGATGAAAAAAAAAAAATATATTTTGATTTTTCGTCCGTATTCGGCTGATGCCGGGTCTAGTCTAACCGTAGACTTACACGGTGGAGACTGTATTCATTACAAACGAAAGTGTTATCTGTACACATGTGGCGATAAAGGGTGATAACGGATAAAAATTGGTAATGATCAATTAAATGGACACATAAGGTACAGGTGGTGTAAAGTTGATGATAATGATAAAGATGATGATGATAATGATGATAATGATTTAGGGGATTGAGGGAGATTCGACGGTATAAATGTACCTGATGCGGTGCCAATCACTTGAATATTGTCGGGGGATAATGCGCCGTTGCGATGATCGTCAACGTTCGTATTAAAAATCACCACTTCTATAAAGAAAAACAAATAGAATTTTATATTTGAAGCTTAGCCGTCCATGTCCGTGTATACACGTGAATTTCATTTTACATCTGCCACGGCGAATAAATGAACGAATAGCTAACGACAATGACAATGAATGATAAAAAAAAACAATTGGTTAAAACCATAAACGTAAAAACATCTTACAGGTCTCTATTTACTATTATAAAAAATAATAAAAACACCTGGCTCACCGTTAAAGCGTGTGTCTCTCTCTCTCTCTCTCTTTCTCTCTGTCTAATCTTAGACACAATATCTTACAGAAACAAAAAAAACTCAATATAATAATATTAATACGCAGTATACACAATAAAGAAGCGAAACCAACCCATGCGAAGTATCCAAAGCACACGAGGTGCATTTACAAAAGGGATAATGTGCGTTTTTCCCGGATAATATACATATATGTGTATACATCGAAATTGTAATGCATGGCGTACGTGCATACGTTGTATACACGTACACGCAACAATTCGAACGATGCTCGACAGAGAAAAAAAGAAAAAACCGCCGGCAGGTGCTGCCACCTTGCCCGCTCGTCGACATCATCCAGCAACCACCACCATTGTATCACCCTCCCCCTCCATTACCATGAAGGTTCGTACAACAGCCACCTCCTGTGCACACCACCACTAAAACACAGCACCAGCAACGGGTGTAATGTGTACTCACCAGCTGAGTCTTCGATTTTGCGTTTCTTGTGCACGTTGTTGGCCGTGCTCAACAGTTCACCCTCTTGCTTGCTCACCAGCCGTTTCAACTGGCAGTTCTGCGACAGAAGTCTCGTTTTCTCTTGCTCCAACTGGTATATGTAGTCAGCCGTGTGCTGTAAGATCGCGGCCTGCAAAAACACACAAAATAAGAAATTAATGAATACGATATCAGAATAATATTTAAAAAAAAATACCCATCCGGTAGAACTAGTAATCAGAGACGTATTAAGGTAAGGGCCATGGGTCCTTATGCCTAAAGGGCATGTACCAGTTGCCCCCAAAATTACCTTTTTTTATACCAATTCCCCCAAATTACCTAGAGAAAAATGTACCAGTGCCCTCACATGTTAATATATACACGATTACAATATATAACTCGTAAAATAGGGGAAGTAAATATAAAAATCATTAATAAAATATAAAATTATTTATAAAAATAAAGTATGAGTAAAATAGTACAATGTTGCGTGCCAACCGTTTGATCGTATTTCAGTTACTCGCTCAGTCTATTCAATGCTTGGGTGTAGGTTTAGTGTTATTCCTACTGCACTGTATGATATTCACGGACAACGATGGTAACTGGACATAGAACATTCTTGTATATAAGATCAAGGAAATGAACCAAAAATCAACTTCCCCTAGTACTCAGGACCCAACTCGGATCTCCGATTTAATGTTATATCATGTACATTTGATTGAACTTCTTCTCGTATTAATTTTAATGGTCGTTTAGAAACTTCATCCACAGCTTTCTGTTATAAATTATTAAAAATGGTTACTTTTGTTAAATTTTTACGTGGCGAATGTTTGTATTTGATAACCGATTTTAAAAGCACCATTTCGTCTTCACTTAAAGACAGCTTTGACGCACACGACATTAATGTACATCACCATTTTACACTAGCTTGTGTAATGCAATCTTTATAAAAAGTATAATTATTGAAAATTAACTAAATATTGCCCTTTTTACTATACACTCGCGTAATATTCTCCATTATGTTAACAACGTCAGTGCTTTCCGTTTTCTTGTACTAAAATGTACTTATCAAAAACATAGGTATACATCGTATCATATACCTAATAATTTTTAACAACCATAAAATTACATATAAAGATATAATAAATGATAATAATTATCCACTCGGACGCATCTAAAATTACGCGTTTTGGTAAAAACTTGTTTTGCACCAAGTAGACTATTATTATTTATTAGTTATTACAAAATACAATATTATATATTATAATTCCAATTTCCAAGCATATTTATTTTTATAAATAATTTTATATTTTATTTATGATTTGTATATTTACCTCCCTTATTTTATGAGCTATATATTGTAATATATTGTAATATTGTGTATATATTAACATGTGAGGGCAACTGGTACATTCGATTGAGGGCAACTGGTACATTCGATTGAGAGCAACTGGTACATTTGGTTGAGGGCAACTGGTATATTTTTAAAATCTCGATAACAGGTGTAGGGGGCAACTGGTCAACACCCAGCGGAATTGGTGTCGAGACTTAATAAATCTATAAATTCTAAAAATTATATTAAGTGTATGGTAAATACTAAGATTAAATTTAAAGCCACTAGGTGTCTCCAATATGAGATTTCCTATAATGTCACTATCATTCCCAGTTCTTTTACCCGCCCTAAGTATTGCTCATTGTACACATACGCATAGATTGTAATAATTTCAAAATAAAGTCACATATTTTTTATTTAAAAAAAAAAGAAACCATATTGGCTATCCACATATCTTCAATAAATATTTTCAGCCAATGAGTAGTTTTTTTCTATTAAAAAATATGTATTTCTACACGCAAATAAATGACACGAGAAAAAACTTTTTCCTCGGGAAAATCAACGTATATCTGGGTGATAAAGTTAATTAATAAACAAATAATTACAACTTTTGGATTAACTTCCTGAACTTACATAAATATATTAAATATATATTTATATTATATAATTATAATTACATTACAAAATCCAAGTTGTTACATTATCAGAAAATATTCACACAATCATTGAAAACTAGGCTGTATTTCCAAAAAAAAATTATCAACTTTTTTTAAAAATATGTAAGCCAGTGATTATAAAAAGCAGCCTACATAATGAAAATTCTTCAAAATAATTATCAGGATTTTTATAAAGTATAATTAACATTAGTTGAACGTCAATTTGAACATCAATGGATTCATCGATTTGAATCGAAAATTTTTTTGCTGAAATAATTTGATGCATTAGCTATCTTAAAATATTTTCAGATATAGGATCTAACCTTCGTTTAACAGTGTTATCCAAAAAACAGAATTAATTCTACCTTATTAGTTACATTTTTTTCACAGACATTCATAGTGGACAAGATGAGAGAAAATAGATTGAGATGGTTTGGGCATGTGATGAGACGATTGAGAATGATATAAGGACCGGTGTTGTATACCTAGGGAATGTAGAAAATCGAGACGAATGGAGGTTTAGAACAAGAGTAGACCCCAAATAACTGGGTGAATAAAAATCTTTTTTTGTAACTTAATTATAATTTATATTGTACAGAAATTAGTGAAAAAAGTCATAATAATAATGAAATTTTTTTTTTTAGGGGCAAAATAAATTTTGCCCTTATCCTGAAATTTCTAAATACACCACTGCTTGTAATATGTGTATTAGAAAAATATTATCTACTAGAGTGATAAAAGGGGGGACATTTTTCAAAGTCGTATACTATAAGATTTACGACGATAACACCTATAATACCGCACCTTTGTAGTTTTTTCTCTAATGCAATTACATCACACATCATGTTCGTGATTTACCTATGATTAATATACAGAAGAAAGGGTGTTTTTATTTTTCTTATCAATGTACCATATTTCATTATCTTACGTAAAGCGTAAAAACCATACTCGTTTGCACAACATTAAATTATATTAGACCATAAATAATAAAATGTATAAGAATACTAGAATAATGTACACTGTGTCACCTTTTATTTAATAACTTTTACTCGTAAATCAATCAAACGTAGGTTTGAATGATACTACACGCTACATATTACTATTGTGAAAGCTGCTTATTCTTAGTAAAAACGTATTTTGTCTTATACCAACGAACTTGAAAAAAGTCCTAATGATATATACTTATATTACGTATGAAAAAATAATGATATAATATAAAATATAAACCAACACTGCAACGTGATAATTATTTTTAATACATAGTACTTCATAACATAAGCCACATATGTAACAATATTTAAGTATTGATAAAAAGTAAAATATGACATGTATAGCTATAAGCACACATATAGTTAACACTTAAAAATTCAATGTTGTCAAGAGCAATATTTTTTTCCCCGAGTTCGTGTTTAGCTATTTCAATCATGAATGGTGATTCTTAAACGTAGTAAGCTTAAAATGCATTATAAAGTCAAGAGATTTTTAAACAAGAGCATGTTATTATTACATTTTCCGGTTAATAGATTTATTAAAAGAACAAAATAGTTGAAGGGTACTTTTCAATGAGGGGTTCATAAAACATAAAAGACCGCACCCTATATTATATACTAACGAATATAGCACATAAAACATTTTTCAAACAAAAATAATTTTGACATACCTATTAATAATAAATAGTATTAAAAATATATTCCACTTTCTAAAATATAAAAATTAATGATGCTTCAATATTAATACGATCTTATATCAGTTATTAAAAAAAAATACTTCTACAGAAAGAAACTTATATTTAAAAACAATGCTACTTGGATAAATTTAATTTAAAAAACCCATAAGTATATTTATTTATTTTATTTAGTTTTTCTAATTATAATACTAAAATACATATAATCGAATGTTCATTCAAATTATTAATTTATAATCGTAAACAAACAACCATAGTTGGATAGTAAATAACCTACTGGATACTCAAATATTACTTATCACTAAATGTTGATAGAGTTCATTCATAGTTTAAAATATGTAAATAACAATTAAGTCTTGACCCTTCTGAACCAGATATTCATAAATAGCAACAATAATTTTTCAATTATATTTTCTCACTATTATGCACAAAACTTTATAAATATGCCACACAGTCAATCATTAATGAATAAATTACCTAATGATGTTGTGCGAGTAATCTCTTAAAAAATATCACAGACTATTTAATCATCAGTATTATTTTTATAAGTTTATTAACTCAAGTAATTACTAATTAACTCGACCGTGAGATAATTAACATCACATTTTTAAAAATAGTTACAAAACACTGAGCAGTTATTAAATTACATTAAACTGATATACTATTATACAATTTATACAACAGGTATAACGAATTTTTTAATTTACACAGTCCAAATAATTTAAATGCAACGTTAAGTTGTTTTTATATAATTCAAGAGTACGAATATACCTTTTTGAAAGTAACTCGTTAAGAACTTAAATTTAACTATTTGAACGCGAAGAATTTTTCTTATTGAAAATTCGGGAGGAACATTACCCTTCAATTTTCAATGAAAAAAAATATAATTACAACGAAATTAAATAATATTATTAAATTCATCGCCAAATCCTTAATTATATTAAGTGGAAAAAAAAACGAACACGCTTGAACTAAAACCATTAAATCACATAACCTGTAAATCACTATATTAGTCCTACTCATCGGAGTATCTATTCCCTACATTATATCAAAATATATCTTTTGAATACATAATACAGTAAAACTTCCTTTAACGGTCACCTCTATTGGACGGTCAATTTTTTTGGTCCCGTCGAGTGTTATGGGAAAAATACATTAACACCTCTAATTAAAAGTCAAAATTTAAAAATATGTCAAATGAAAGATGGAAAAATGTTAAAAAATGTTTTAAATTCTTTTTGACAGTTCATCTTAACAAGCATTTATGATATCGATAATGTGAAGAACAATTGTCTGTGACTGTATATTTTATCATGTTCCATTAATGTTCAGTGTATAAAATGTTTGGAATGGCGTGTAGTTTCAATGGCATTAACACGAAAACATCTACGTTTAACGGAAAAAATAAAATTGTCCGATTTTTACCAAATTGTATATTTAAATATTAATTAATTAAGGTGAAATAGATGATCATATAA